TTCTAGAGGCTGATGCAAATGTGACAAAAACTGTTTCCATAATTTTACACTGCACTGCATTATTGCATAATTTAAACAGCTAAGTAAGTACAGAGTCTAGTGTTTTCAGTTCATTTCCATAAAAGAGTGATAATACATGCCTGGACGTCGAGGCAACTACAACCAAGTATTGCATCATGTTCCCACTACACTTTGTGTATCTCAGTTGTTTTTCCCAGAAGTGAGATATTATATACAAAACTGAAAACACAACGTGGCCTGAGGAAAGACTAGATATGAAAATTTATATTCCAGACCAACGTGCCACGTGATTGGGTCGCAATACAAATATACATTTTGTCACTGGCAACACCATTTCAGATGCTGTAAAGCTTCTTAGGTGTTCCTACTCATTTATTCAGAGCAAGAACACTGGCAATGTGTTCTCTGGGTATACCCAGCAGAACTCACTCCTAACTTTTGTTCCAGGAAAGTGGCAATAGTAGTATTTAGGAAAGTGGGAGGTTACCAGCACTGTTAAACCAGGCACACCAGTTTCACACGGATTTCCATCATCGCATTTCAATCACGTGGTTGTCTGCTCCAAACCTGTTTTTTTTTCCCACAAGCAGTTGCCCGGGCAAAGTCTGAGAGCCAACACGGTTTTCCAGCAGACAAAGCCACTGTTGTTGGCACAATGCACACATATTTGACATCACTGGTTACTTGCACTGAAACCTGTATCCCTGATTACAGAGAAAATACTATTAGCCACATCCTCTATGCCTTAAAGAAGTTCTCACGAAGAAGTCAATTCAATTTGCCACAGGGAAAAATAGGGAATTTGGCCTTTAATTTCCGCTGAACTTCTAAACTGGCTCTCATCACTGCATTGGGGATTTTAATGCTTTAATTTTTAAAGCATTTATGTCACATCCAACTCTGAAAACAGCACGTGTGACTTTTTACCTGTTTCATGCAAAACATTCAGGCTGCTCGTACCTTGGGGTACGGTCTCATATCCACGTGGTCTTCCAAATAATAAGTGTCCAGCCTAGAAAAGAGAGTAACAAGGAAAAGGGTTGAAATTCAAAGAACACTATCAGGCCGATGGGCAGCAGAGATTACTAATGTATGGATGTGACATGTAACTGTTCAGGCACATCAGCCGATCAGACACCGACACTCATTTCACGCACACAAGCATCGTGCCTCAGTTCCCCCCCCACGAGCCTTTCTGCATCGCACCCACCCGACACCCAAATACCCTCGCGCTGTCCGTGCGGACCGCTGTCCGTGCTGTCAGAGCGGACCGCGAATCCCGGGCGAACCTCCCGCCTCCGGTGCGTGTGTCCCCGGGCCGGGTCGGGTCCCGTCCCGAGCCCGCGGCGCTGTTTCGTGTACGCGCTGCACCGGCACGGGGTCCCCAGCCGGGCCGGGCCTGGCCGCGCCAGCCCGCGCTCCCGTCCCGCGGCTCCCGGTGCTCTGTGCGGCTCTCCCGCCGTGTCGGTCCCCGCGCGCTCCCGGGGCGGCCGAGGCCGAGCTGCGCGTGCCCGCCGCGCGCGCTCCCGGGGCCGCGCCGCGGGTCGCCGCCGAGCGCGCGCCCGTCACCTGCCGCTCGCGCACGCGCGCTCCCGGCCCCGCGCGCTGCCGCACGCGGCGCAGACCCCGGTTGCATCACCTCGCGCGAGGGAGGCCGCGGGGACCTTTTCCAGGGCTGCCCGCGGCGCGCCTGAGCCGCTGCCGCTCCGCTGCGGCTCCGGCTGTGTCCCTGCAGCGCTGATCGCGACTGTTTCCCCAGCCCGGTGCCGTCCCCGGGCCGGCCGGTGCCGCGCTGCGGGCCAGAGAGCGCCGGGGGCTGCTGGACGGCGGCGGCGGCGCCGAGCGGAGCCGGCGGTCAGGCGTCCGCGCGGGACTCCTCACTTCCTGGTCGGGCCAAGATGGCGGGGGACGAGGCGGGAGTGACTCTGGGGCAGCCGCACCTCAGCCGGCAGGACCTGGGCACGCTGGTGAGACCGCGGGGCGCGGACGGGGCTCGGCGGGACAGCCGGGGCTCGGCGGGACAGCCGCACCGCTGGGGGAGGTCTGTGTGGGGGTGCGGGCCGAGTGGTTCCGACTTGCCTGCCGGCCCCGCCGCGGCCGCGCCGCGCTGAGGGGCGCGGGAGCCCGAGGGGCAGCGTTCTGGGAACAGGCCGGGGGCAGCGCTCCGGGAGCGGGCCGGGGGGCAGCACAGCGGGGCCGGGCCGGGGCAGCGGGCCGGGGGGCAGCACAGCGGGGCCGGGCCGGGCCGGGGCAGGGGAGGCAGGCACGGTCGGAGTGACGGCGCCAGGAGCAGGTCGGGCCGGTCGCAGCGGGCGTGGGGCGCCCGGGTGAGGCGAGTGCGAGTCTCCCACCTGTGCGGGCAGAGCTTTTATAGCTTAGCGGTGGGTGCGCTTTTCCCCTTCTAAGGGCTGTCCTGTTGTGTGGTACTAAAGACTCTTCCTTCTCCGAAGTAGAACCATAATCTGGCGCTGTGTGTCTACAGCAGGCTCGAGGGATTGGCTGCCAGCCCTGCCTTGGCTGGTTTGCCAAGCAAATTTTCTCGGTTATTAAGATCTACTGAAAGAATCAGTTCACAAGATCAAAGCGTGAGTTAGATTGGAAAACACCTGTGAGACCACTGAGTCCAGCCTGCGGTGATCTTGCCTGTTAAGAGTCTCTCCGGGTCTATCTCACTCATTACACCTCTGTGCTGACAAAACTACTCGAAAATCCTGTTGCTGCACCCCCAGTGTTCGGCAAACCAGAACAGACTATTTGTGTGTGCAGTGATAATGTTCGATGTCCTCTGGGTTTGAGCACGGGAATTCCTTTGTGCTGTAGTGAGCGTATTGAACATCTCAGAAAGTTTCTTTACTTCCCCTCATTGTTGACCATCCCATTTCCCAGTCGGAAAAGGCACAGATAGGACTAGCTGGGAAGTCAGCAGGAATTACCTTTACGGCCTATCCTGCCCCTTTTCGGTCGGCCCTTGAGTACTTACAGCTGACTTATTGCTGAGCGTGGCCTTACACCAGTCCTGCCAGAAAAACTCTCCCTGCGTGCACAATTGTACAGGAAGAGTTCTCCTGGTGGCAGGAATTGCATCACGCTGACGTGCTTGTCCCCCGGCCACATGGTGCCATCTGCAGGGCACGTTCCCGTTGCAGGGCAGTGCTTTTCAGTTCGATATACAAGAAATACACGTTTAATTGTGTATCTTAAGCGTTCAAGACTTGGTTTGTATTGAACACGAACGTTTCATTTGCCTAATACTTGAGAATAGGAATGATCTTACACTGTTGCACAGATGTGTTTATTTGATCAGTGTGCACAGAACCTGCATGTAACAGTGTGAAAAATACGTGATTTAGTGTGAGTGTTATTTGTATCTTAGCAAAATACTTATATCTTGTCCTGCACAGAGGACTCTTTTGGCATCCTGAATTGTTGCTTGAACTGAGCAGCTCATCCATATGAATTCAGTGCAGGATTGAAAGTAGCTGTTAACAGTTTCAAAAGTAGCACAGAGCAACAGTTCAGTGGATTTCAACACTTGTCTGTTATTTGGACAAACAGCTTTAAAATATTTGAGGAAAAAATAGCCATTAAAAATCCATGGTAATAATGAAGTCTCTGGACCTGCGATGATTGTAGTTATATATTGGCTGTAATGGCACCTGACACCAATTAAACAACTGTTTATTGTCAAAGCTTTGTTTTTAAAACATAAGTGCAATTCATCGTGTAACCCATTGAAAATTAACTTGAATTTCCCTGTTACATGTCATTTAGGTTTGGGGGTAAGTAAGCGTTTGGGGTTTTTTGTTAGAGCTTTTCTTGAGGTTTTTTGGTTTGTTTACCCCCATCTGTAACATCCTGCAGCCAATACTGGTTTACAGTCAGGGCTTTGGATTGCAGCCTGTACTGATTTACAAGTGGGACTTGGTTCACTTTTTGTCTTATTTCACACACTTAAAAGACTGGAATGCATATCTAGAATTATTTCAAGGAGCTTGCCTGAATTTTTACTGAATAGAACTATTGGACAATTTTTAAGAAAATACAATACTTTCTAAACACTTATATACAAGATGAATAAATTCTAAAATCTCCCTTATACAGGATGTGACCAAGTTGACGCCTCTTTCACCAGAAGTCATCAGCAGACAAGCAACAATTAATATAGGTAAAAGCAAACTTTTGAAAAATAAGGGTGTTAATGTGACTCTTTTTGGTCCTCCTCCAGTAGCAGATGGTACCTATATGGCAACACTTTAAAGATTCTTACTGAAATAGTTACATAGTCATTTTAGAAACTTGTCAAACCATTTTGACTTGAAAAGCACTGATTTTACTTCAGGAATACAGTTGAATGATGTGGGGAATAGTTGCTAATGCCAAGTTTATTTTACCTTGAAATGGAGCATTGAAATGAGTTTCATAAAAATGCAAGGTCTGTCCATTGGGAACTCAATTTTTTTGTTTCTTTAAACCAAAATGATGACAAACCCCATATGTGCTTCTGATGGGAGCTCTGGATTTACCTGCCGTAAATAATTTGAAGTAATTGTGTGTTGATTGTAATGGAGCGTTGCACTAAACAATGGTTTATTGACAAACATTTCCTTTCAAAACACAGGTACAATTGGTCATGTAGCCCATGGAAAGTCCACAGTAGTCAAAGCTATATCTGGAGTTCATACTGTCAGATTTAAAAATGAACTGGAAAGAAATATCACAATCAAGCTGGGTTATGCTAATGCAAAGGTGAGTCATTACTGCACCAAATACATTACCAATGTATTTCAGGGTGGATGTGAGCTTACAGGTAACTAACCCTTGAGGAATTAAACATTTTTCCAATTCTAAAACATCACAGATTTACAAGCTGGATGACCCAAGCTGTTCTCGACCAGAGTGTTACCGATCCTGTGGAAGTAGCACCCCAGATGAGTTCCCTACAGATATTCCTGGCACCAAAGGGAACTTCAAGCTAGTCAGGTAACAGCTGTAAAAGACTGGAATAAATTGTGTTTACTTCCCTTTGCATAACTGAGAACAGTCAGGATTGGGTTGTAAGCTGAATGGGTTGTTATGGCTCATTCTGAGGTGGGGGGCCCCCCGATCTAAGGTGTTGTCTGAACTGCCTTGGGTGGTGCAACAAGATTCTTAGTTCATGCTTATGATAAAATACACGGAGTGCAGTACAAGATTAACTGTGACAGGCAGGCAGCCATTGGGAAACTACTGGTTAAAAGCTCTGTGTTCTTTATCCCACTTTTTTTTTTGCTTATAGTAGATTTTTAACATTGTCAGCAAAGCAGTAAATTAGTCCCTTGCTATTTGGTGGCATGCTACTGGGAAACAAGAATTCTTCACTGGATAGGTTCGGGAAGGAACATAGTGAATCAACTATTATGGTCTGCACAATAAAATCGTAAGGTTGGAAATGTAACATTGTCTCTGTAGATAAATCTTTGAAGTGAAGTGCAGTTATAACCATGTAACTAAAGATGCATGATTTCCTCGAATTCGAGAATGGGAGATGTCTTTTAAAAGAAATAAGGAAAATCCCTTGTGGTGTGTTTGTTGGTTTTTGGGTGGATGGTGGTAGGTTGGGTTGGTTTCAGTTTTTTTATTTTGGTGCATTTAATTCTAGTCTAATTTACAAGTAAATTGGTGAAATATTAAAGCAATACCTAATATGGATATGTGGTATTAAATCTTAAAACTCAGAAAAAATATTCAGTAGCCATTCAGTCTTTGTGTTCTTTTAGAACTTTCTTGAAAATACTTTTAAGGTATTGCTTCTCAGCGTCTGTCTCGAAATGTTTACCTGTCTATTTTAAGGATGCTTTTAACTTCTGTGTCTGCCTATTCACTCACATAAATCAGTCAGAGGAACTGTTGGTAATTGGCTTTTGGACTTTTTTTTCACCTTCTCCTACAACAGGCATGTCTCTTTTGTGGATTGTCCTGGCCATGATATTTTGATGGCTACAATGTTGAACGGTGCAGCAGTAATGGATGCAGCTTTACTGTTGATAGGTAACAATTGCTACACAAAAGCAGAGCTCTGCTTTTTAGTATCATGAAGCAACTTTATATGGGCTTTAAAATCTAGTGGGACGTGGTGAGCAGTTAAAACAAGTCAATGCAGTTGGGATGTGTTAAAGAAAATAAAGTGATGCTATAAGGACAATGTGCTCTAGCAAACTGGGTTGTTT